ACCACTGGTGTTCATTTGAGTCTAGAAAAATCCATTTGAACGACAACGAACCTCTTTGTGAGAGGAGTATAGCCTGCTTGTGATGGCATGCTACGGTATTATGATTTATATCCTGACAGCTTGACTATTGCAAGATGAGTGGGTTATTTTTTTTTAAAGGGACAAGCTCGCCACTATCTCCCAAAACCGCTGCAACTCCTGTAAGCCAGGATCTACGGTAGATACAACCATGAAAACACCGGAACACTGAAGTCCGGCGCGTCCCAGGGACATGAATAACTGTATGTATGTATGTATGTATGTATGTATGTATGTATGTATATTGTATTGTACTCGTGTGTAGGTATATGTATTACTATTATATTTATTTATGTTCATTTCTGAAATATGTTAGTATAATCTTCTATTTTCTCAATTAAATCGTTGCCTGCTTCTTGCTCCTACCATTCACTCTTCTCTGCATCACCCAAAGGTCAGACTGGGAGAAAATGCCTGCGGCATTAAGTCCACCTTGTGTACACTTTGTGCATGAAGCGTTAATAAATAAATAAATAAATAAATAAATAAATAAATAAATAAATACACAATCCCGTACAAAATTCTTAGAAAGCTTTCGTTTTTGACAGTTCGAAAGAAGTAATGAATTTGCCTAGTTGTCTATTACCCAATTTATATTCATACGATTTTTGGAGATAGATATTTAAAAATTAAGTGGCACCTAGGTTTTAATCCCTAGAACAAATAAAACAGGCATCATTTTATACATCAATCAAACAATATAAGAAATTAACTTCAAATCAATTTACGACGAACAAAATTTTGTTTTTGCGTTGCGACGCATCATGAACTTATTTTTATATGTTCTTGTTTTATAGTCTGTGTGTGATTATTACACCACGAAGGTGTAATAAACGATTTCTTTTTCTTTCTTTCTATTTAAGGGTTCTTCATATTGTATCAAAAATGTTTTTTCTACCTGTAACTACAATTTTCCACCCGACTGTACCGTTACTGTACAAAACTAGCACAGCATCTTGGTAATTTGAAAGCGTCACCCGCGCCCTCTGTTTACCATAAGAAAAACACAACTTTTCTTGTGGTTTCACTTTCCTTGATATACATGAAAAATCCCTAAACACAGGGATAGATAATATGCAAATATGTACGGTACAGTGAAAGTATTATGTGTTTTCGCAAAGTGATCCATCTATCTGACAAGGCAAGGTTTTACAAAAATGGAACTCCACAATAAAGTGGAGGTAATTTAGTAAATTGCCGAGTTGGATAAAATATTAAGATATTCATAAAATAAGTTAACAACTTCATGTTTTTATTGTATTTATTTATTTAATACTGAGAAGCCAACAATTTTAAAATAAACAGTCTTTACCTATGTACTTTGTAGCGACACTAATCTATTGACATTTTTTATGTGTTCTCAAGTGCGTAGCTGCGCCTACGACCCTATAGCGTTAGCACGCCAGTCGTCTCCCAGCTTTGGTGTTAACCAGTAATATTTTGTAATATTATAGATTAGTTGTGAATTGTGTATTTCTTAGAACAATATAAACAAAAAGTTTTACTTATTTTATTTCGGAGTTTCATTGAACACACGAAACTATTCTGGAGTCAAGTGAATAAGAATACACACCATATTCTAAAACTTCAACACTTAAACGGCCTTTAAACCCATTATCATTTGTTTAGCTTATTTAGCTTTTAATGTAATAATTTATGTACCTAGCTTTTTCTAATAACTATCGTGAGACATACTAAATTAACTAAAATAGCAGGTTACTCACGTGAATAAACTGAGGAAAGCTCTACTAGTTTCGAGCCACAGAGGGGTTCTTTCTCATGAGCAGCGTGCGCGGTTCTGACCGTGAAACTAGTAGAGCTTTTCTCAGTATATTCACGTGAGTAACTCGCGATTTTAGTTAATTTAGGTACCTAGCGTATAATATCATAATATGTGTGTGATTAATCGTTTTAATAAAAATCCCATACTGAATAAAGAGGCATGTAACGTATCAGCGCCTATCCACATAGAATACTTAAATTGATCTTCTGAACAAATTATTGCTATAACATTATTAGTAGGCGCTATAATATTTTTTTCAAGACAGCAGTTCAGAAAATAACAATAAGTAAAGTAAGATAAAAATCCCACGTAACATCAAACATTTTATCAGCGACAATATTAGTTTAACAAAATCGTCTGAACCATATCATATCAACGATCATTCACCCATGAGCGATTGTAGACTGCAGCGTTCCATCAAAGTCTTCAAAATGGTAAATAAGGTCCGTTTTAACTTACATATATCTCAGATTCTGTGTGCAATCCCCCTAGGAGGTAGCTTTGAGCTTTGAGCATGCAATATCCACAAGTAAACACGTTGCTATCTGGTTGAGAGTTAGTTCTCTGAGGCTCTTTGTACTTTGCCAAGATATCATGAGTTCTGAGACGTGGTAGACTGCTTTACTGCCGTGTGTATTAATGGGGAAGGAGGTTTGGTATTGATGGATTTTTAATAGGATATGTAACAGAGCAGGAAAAGCATACTTGTGTGATATTTCTCTTGTTGCAGTTAGAGGTTAGAAGTCACAAACTGTTATAGATGTGATATATTTGATTTATTGTGCGAAATAAGTCACGTCTAAGTACTGTGTGATACAATTTAGTTAATGTAACTTATATTTCGTAGGTTAAGTAGTATCGCAATTCATACAACGTGGCAATGCTGCCAGCCTTCTGGGGTACTTTGCCTATTGACGTCGATGCGGACGAATTTTTTTGATGCCATTTAATTTTTAGGTATTGAAGTTGTAAATAGTTTCTTTTTAATGTAAATAAAAGTAGATAATCCAAAATAAATAATTGAAGTAATGGGACTAAGAATAATTTCCAAAGTAGATAAATCTAGTAGTTTGTACATAACTAGATGTTTATATTTCGTAAGCATTATTTTGAAATGTCATTTTTTTATTTACCTAATTTCATTGAAATTAATAAATTAAACTGTATTCAATGTACTTAACTACGTATGTATTTCAAAAAATATTTTCAAACAAATAATGTGGTACTTTTAGGAACTAGACACTAATTTCACCAGTCCTATCACCAGCCCGGCTAGCTCAGTCGGTAGAGCATGAGACTCTTAATCTCAGGGTCGTGGGTTCGAGCCCCACGTTGGGCGAAAACTTTTTGGCTCATTTTATCGAGATTTCTCTTTTTAAAGATTTTTTAATTTTGTTATTATTTTATATTACATTTTGTATGTACAGATTATAATACAGTGTGCCAAGTTCCAGTACATCATTGTATTTTTTATATTACCGGCTACATTACTTCCGTTACAATAATTATTTACATCGTAAAAAAATAGACAAATAAAAATAATTGAAGTTAGTTCTATAAAAAATTGCCTATTCCTATTTTTTTGAAACGTCATTATATTTTCCTTATTGTTTTCATTTTCAGTGCCATCTATCCTTATACACAGGAATCCGCTAGATTTGTTGTATGCACTGCTTTCAAAGCTCAACGAAGTTCTGGACGGAAATAATAGATGGCGTTCAAGTGAATAAATCATAAGCGGTACAGAAGATCGTGCTCAGTGCTCACAATTATTTACAAATTGGTACAACATATCTGTTTATAAGATAAGATTATAATAGTTATTTACATACAGTTGAAATATACATAATAAACTTGTAAAACAATGTCAGTACTAAATAAGTGAAAATAAACATGTATTTCAGTATAACAGTTGTCAACGTCCATACCATGTTGAAAACACCGGTTCTCGTCCGATCACCGAAGTTAAGCAACATCGGGCGTGGTCAGTACTTGGATGGGTGACCGCCTGGGAACACCACGTGACGTTGACTTTTTGCAAATTCTTTTTTGGTGCAGTGTTTTTAAGCCGCTTAGGCACGTGAGCAAGTAATTTACACTCTGGGTTGGTTCTAGGCACTATATTTTAGCTTAATGTTTCCTAAACATAGTGCCAGGCAGCATAATTATAGGTAAGTTTATTTATGATTCTTCAACTGATGTAAACTTTACTACGCTTACTTATTTTAATAATGTGGGTATTATTCTAGACTTTACACCTGATGAAAATTTGAAAAGGTAAAATCCATGCCAATTTTTTTTTTATTTAATGGACCGAAGTTTGTCCACTATCTCGCCTGGTGGTAAGTGATGATGCGGTCTACGATGGACCTCGTCTGCCCATAAGCAACCTATTCACTGGGGCCTTTCAGACACCCTGGTTATAGGTACCCTACAGGAAACACAGACTCTGGCAAAGAATTCCACTCCTTAGCAGTACGCACAAGGAAGCTTCATGCGAAGCGCTTCGTGCGTGTGGGTGGAACATCCACCATGAATCGGTGACACTTCGCCGCTTCTCCTGTGGTACGATGATGGAAAGGACAAGGGGGAATCAAAATTTGTGCAATTTCCCCGCACATTCACCGAAATGCAACCGAAAGGCTTGCCTTAATGAAATCAGCATAATTATGTTAAGTAGGCTATGTAATGTCAGTCTATATTTTCATTCGAATATTATTTACTTATTTATTTTTAGTCTTGGTCGTCCCACTGCAGGGCAAAGGCCTCCCTACCCTCCTTCCAGTCAGGCGATAAATAGTCAGGTCAGGGTCTAGCTAGGAGTTGCGGTTGCGGTGGTTAACGCAATGTCAACATCTATTTGTTAAAGCTGCGTGGGGCCCCATTTTAATACTTCTAGTACAATTCTGGATCTACAGGACATTATAGGGGTCAAAGTTTTTGCCCACTGTTGTTTAATTGCCAACGTGCGCATGAGTTAAACCATGACGCGACAAAAACATAGTACTTACCTACCATCGTTACTGAAGGTGTCTAAGATTTCTTATAGCATCGACATACGAGGTAATTGTCCAACTTCCTCTGCGACATCATTTAGAGTAATTTTGTATAGTTTATATAAAACGTTGTAACACGCGAAGGATGCCATATTGTTTGTGCACTGTGATACAATGACGGGGCTCTTGTATTTCTTCTTGAGTGTTTGCGGTAAGATATATTTGCTTACGTCTATTCGAGTGTCATTTTTTTTAAATTGGGACAAGCCCCCCTCTGCCTCCCAAATTGATATCAATTATCTTAGTATACCTTAAACTGTCAAACACCGCGAGGAAACCGGTGACCGCAACCTATTGTTCTTTGATTGTGTCTATAATGACGGTACTCAAAGGGTTAAAGCTTCGATGTACCCAAAAAGACGGCAATGCACTTATGACTTGTGGGTCATAGTGTCTGGGTATCACATAAAAATCTTTGCCTCACCCTAATCAAGGTATGTCTGGTTTCGAATCGTACTTCGGTACTTAGCTTATTACAGGCCTTTCCTTATACATATCATTAATGTAGCCTGTTACTGCCATTTCATCGCGTCATAATATCCTTGCTATCTGTAAGACTGACTCCTGACTGAGATGTTTAAAAACCCTTTTTTCATATCTATAATATTAATATTTATTGCGGAGATAGGTACGTCCTTCATGAGACTTACGTCATAGTAATTAGATTTCTATAAGTAGGTATAGGAACTAAAGTTCTTTATAAATTTTCCTTGACTGGGATCAATGTTCATGTCTGTTACTTTGTAGATTATGATACGTCAATTATCTGATGTTCATGGACGCTGAGATATCATATTACCAATGTAATTGCTAATAAATATTTTGGTTCTGGCTAAATATGTATTTCCTACATTTTTCACTCAGTCACTATACTTGAAAAGAAGACTAATGTAAATCTCTTACAATTCATAGTTAGGTATATCACTCGAGTACCCAAACGAAACTAACTTCAATAGCTACTGCAGAAATATAACAAACGAAATACAAAACTAAGAACAAATTCGATCAGAACACCATACACGTAAAGGGGATATCTCAACATGACACCAAAGAAATAGAACTTACTAATAATGAACTTGAAATAAATGTATTTACGAGTATAAAGAAAGTCGACATTGAATTTGGACGCACCCTTGAACAGCGAAATGATCACAAAGCTCACTGGCATTGAAATGGATAAACGAATATACAAAATGACTTTGCAATAATTTTCCTAAATATAAGTCCAGATTCGACTAACAAAGCCATCTGGTATATGCCTTATGCTTCTAGTGATAAGTTTGCCTATGTCTTGTATCTAAGTCTGCATCTGTCTGCATGCAGGAAATTTTAAATAAGTCTTTACTTAAAGACATTTTAATATTTTCTATCTGTTTTTCATTTTTTTTAGTTAGTTATGTAATTTCACGTTCAATAATACGTTTCGATTTTACTTCTTATTAAGGATTAAAGATAAAAAGCATATCAGGAATTTTGATTAATACAATTCTTTATGGTTATAATAATATGATTAATAAATTATTTCAGCGTTTACTGGTTGGAGCGATGCTGTTTCAACGAAGATGGATTTTGGAGGGGATGAAGTGGTGTCTCTAACGAATTCTACTAAAATAGAAGATGAAGATGTAGAAGTTCAACATACCATTGTACTTTCAACTAAACTTAAGAATAATAATAATAGAAGAGGACTACATAGTTCTAATGATGGTAAGCACCAACCGAACATTATAGAAAAAATAACATACGGGGAAATACCAAAGTTACAAATTAGGATCTTATAACATAACATTACGCCTTTTATCCCCGAAGGGGTAGGCATAGGTGCACGTTACGGCACTTAATGCCACTGTACAATATAACACCCACTTTCCACTATTTATATTATGAGTCCCATGTGGTAGGGGGTGAGCCTATTGCTATATACCGGGCACCATTCTAGACCCCATGTTACATCTGAGATTAAAAAAAAAACCCAGTAATATTTCCCCGCCCTGGGAATCGAATCCAAAACCCTTGCCCCGGCAGTCGCACTTGCAACCACTTGACCAACGAGGCAGTCAACGATCGAAGGATCTTATCTAAATATCAATTAAATACATTTTAGTATCACCTACACAATCTGAATACTTAATTCCACAAAAACTAAAAACATTGAAGAGGTTTTATAAAACATAGTGCATTCAAATGGGGCAATGGACGCAAGTTCAATTTTCCAGCTGGCTGATTACCGGCAACTTGAAGATGTTCCATAAGATAACAAGGACAATAAAATGCCCCCACTAACAGAAAATCTTTCAATGAATCTTGGATTTATTTATTACGTTTCGGTACTATAGTGCGATAAACAAATAGATTTAGTGGTGTTATCAGTGGCTGGACAAGGTCGATACTCTGGTTTTATAATAATAGTTAAGTAGTCTACTATTATAAACAGGTTAAATATTACTTGTATAGATTGTTTGTGTAATTTTGTGTTGGACCATGATCTTACTCTCATTCTGAATCCTAAGCTTCCCAGTAGCTTGAGAGTCAGTATGCATAGATAGATTTGTCAAATTTCTAAGACTAGACAAGCTAGACATTTTTCACCGCAATTCGCATTTCCATAAAATTAATAAACGATATGATATTAAATTCTTCTTGCAGATAATTCTGGAACCCTTACCTACAATATAGGCAGGAAAGAAGCCAAAGAAGATAGTGGAGAAGTTCCTGTTTTAAACGGCTACAAATCTGTTGAAACTACACAAATTAGAACACCAGACACAAGAACCAGAGGTTCGTTCTATCCAGACTCTGCATTTATAAATAGAAATGTAAGGGACGATTATGACATATACCCTAACTTCGTAACAAATCCGTCACAATGGAAACCATCAAGCCTATTCAATAACATCAACTTGATGACCCAACAGGTGCCAATAAATACAGAATACAACACAGGCTGGAGAATTAGTAAGCCAGCCTATCAAACGCCTGGCAAGTTCCATAGAAGAATATCAGACGACGGAATGAAAGAATTCTACTGCAAAAGATGTAGGGAATTAAGCGGACAAGGCTACATAGGCTGTCCCCCAACCGCGCAACAAAGAAACCACTGGGTTTACGAGACAACAACTCCTAAAATGAAATTGGACGGCAAATTGGCGAAATTAAACTAATTTGTTTTGTGGTCATTGTTTTTGTTCATCCCGTATCGTATCCGTGAGTAGAAAAAATGGTGATGTTATCTGACTGACCTTGAGACGTTGCTCAGAGGTTGAAAAGTATAAGACGTTAGTAATTGTGCTCACGTTTCCAAGTATTCGCTAATGTTTGCGTCTGATGTTATTACCCATATCTTTCCTTCATCAATAGGTGTGTTGTCTTCATTATTAAGTGCTACAAAAAGTATTTTCATTATGTATGTAGTAATTACTGGCTTCTGTCTGCGAGGTGGACGAACTTCTATTGTTAGCACAAAAACTAGACTAGCGCTGATATCATCAAAGTTACATTCCGAATGTGTTGTGCTTGATTTTAATTACAGTTTGTTTTAGCACTTTTTTAACTTCCTAAACATTCTCCGAAATAATTAACTCATACAGTGATTTGAACCTTGCGAGGTCGACATTTTTAATCAATACATAATATAAAACAAAGTCGCTTTCGCTGTATGTCCGTATGTATGCTTAAATCTTTAAAACTACGCAACGGATTTTGATGCGGTTTTTTTTAATAGATAGAGTGATTCTTAAGGAAGGTTTGTATGTATAATACATGCATATTGCACCCGTGCGAAGCCGGGGCGGGTCGCTAGTCTCATATAAGTTACGATGACTAAATTGTTTTGGGACTGAATGAAGTGGATCTATCTACGTATATGGACCAAAAAATCTCATCATCTTGATTGATTCATATCCAAGTACAAAAAATTAAACGTCCAAATATTTTTACGCTGTTTTTTCATCTTTTTTTTCTCACAGTGTAAATGAGGCAACAATAACCGTATAATCATTTATTGATACATCTCAATTATAAATAAATTTCTTAACAGACCAACTAATAGTATTATCAACAGAATTTTTTCGCCTCTACGCTACCAAATATAAGGTTCATAATAGCAGTAGTTTTTTCAATATCCTTAATTTAGGGTATTATGAGATCTGTGTTTTAGAATAAGAGGCTATTAGGAAGATCGGTTTATTTTCTTTTAGTTTTCTACTTTGTAGTGGGTTATTCTTCCGTTGTCGTTGACAAGAGTTTCTGCTCCTCTTGAGTTCACAGCCTTTCCATTAACGTTTGATGAGGAAGAGAACGAATTGCTGGAGACGGAGTAGAATCCATTTCTGCCTGGCTGTTGGACTGTGTCGGCGAAGTGGTTCACGTTGGGGTTGGCCTGCAAAGTACGTTGTCGGTAAGTTCGTGAAGGAGTTAAAAAGATTTAAGGGTTTTTCTTTTTGGTTTTGTTTTAGGGACCGTAAGATAACTCTGTTGGTTTTCTAATATGTACCTAAGCACTAACTAAGTATTACCGTAATGTTTTGTGTATAATTCGTAGTTAGGTAAAATACTTATATTATATTGATCTTCGTACCTACTGATAGTGTGATTAATGTATGCGACTTATTGCATAGGTCTATTTATCGATCATGTAATTTCTAATAAAAGTTGTTTTTTTTATTTTTGAATAATTGTAACTAACGTTCTGTATTGACTCTATTCTACTAACGAAGTTTACGGAGGTACTTGGTCAGGCTCATTTAAAACTCACTTTTATAGCAACAGTTTAGTCACGATTGATAAGGCGTCAACATTAAATACTTGTAATCGATCCATAACTAAATAAAGTCGGTTACAAAACCCAATAATAGTATGACTAACGTAAATTTTAAAATAATGAACATTTCTAAGAATTTGTCTTTACATTTTGTCGAGCACATTATCCATATCCTTCTTCTTTTTTATCTTCTACTCTCATTCTCCGTCTCGAAGTTATACGTCTCATTCTCCTATTCTCCTCTATCAGGTGACAGATTACACCATAGGCCTGTTTTGCCTGTTTTCTTTCTTAACATCCCGTCATCATCTTTATTCTTTTTCAATATGTGTTCTCTCTTCACTAACTCTTATTTATCCTACGCACAGTCTTAATATTTCTATTTCAAAAGCTAGTCCTCTGAATATAAAAATTTGAGTGCCGTTTAATAAAACCTATGTTATATAAGTAAGATCCAACTCAGCCTATCACTTCAGAGATAAAAAGTTTTGTTATTATTAACAATTTAACATCATCACTAACATCGTTATTAATCATCTAAACGATGATAACACTAAGTACGTATAAATCTCTGTCAAGTTTGATCACGAAGGGAAGAAAACTTATAAAGAAAAAATACTAGGTATAAAAAACAGAGTCAGGATTTCGTTAGTATAACTCGAAGGTAACGATCGTGATCAAAGCATTACAATGCAAATGACATTATGATATATTATGTTTTGCTAGTCATATTTCAAGTTAATGCAAACAACATCACGTGTGTTACTCAAAATAAGGATAAGCAAAGGTTACAAGACTCAAACATGGGTTTTTTATTATAACTTTCGTGAGACATACTAAATTAATTATTAACTATGTTTTCGGCTTACTCAAGTAAGTATTTGACGAGGAACTCGACCAGTTTCAAGCCATGCTAGAGGGTCATATTCATGAGCAGCATTTCGCGACCCGCGACGCGGCGACTGTCACGTTGCTGCTCAAATAATTACGTGAGTCCTGCTCCTTGTCAAATAATTACGTGAGTAAGCCGAAAACGTAATAATTACTCCAACATGGGATCGTGAATAAGAATTTTGGAAGCCTCTATTACGTACGGGGATATATATATAAATATACTTACAGGGTTAACCGGGAATATTGAGGCAACCTGGTGTTGGAACCCGGGGCCGGCTGCCGCGCCGGCGAAGGCGCTATTGGACCCGAAGTGTGGCATTGGCATGGGTAGTGGCAAACTCGGTATGTTGGTGAACGCGAACCTGGAGGCAAGGTTTGGGGTGGGATAATAACCAGCCTGGTTCGACGTCAAGTCGAGGGCTTTTCTCGCTGCGTCGAAAGCTAGCCTTTGATTCTCAATATTCCTTTGAAACACCCTGTAATCACAAAATTGTTAATTAATCACACTGGAAACGTTAGAAGGTTAGTGCGATGGAAGCGCCAGAGAAGGAGAAGCGGGATTAGTGTGAACTACACTCGGAAAGTTACGACGATTATAATAGTCACTCCACGCGCATGCAGGTGTATCTGTTTACCTTTTCCCACGGGCTCCGCGAAGGAAACCTCCTCTATAAAATGCAATTCGTTAATAAGGTTTATAATTACTCATTTACATCAGGCAAAAGATGGGGTACAGTGCGTATTAGAATTCGATGTCCTTGTTCAAGTACCTATGTATAAATTTGGAATGATAATGGAATTGTAGACTTGATGGCATTACGCCTGGACATCAGATTAAAATTCTTGCATTACCTAACTGCAAAAATTAAACAGGCTACTCTAGAGCATCTCTGAAATTATAATTTGTTAACAAACCATCAATGAATAAACCCCATATTTTGTCTGATGATTAACACTAGAGACTAGATTATTCTATTACGTTATTCTAAACTTAACTCCTACATCCTGTATGTTAACAGAACGCTCTAGAATAACGCCAACAGGTGATGGTCAAAAACAAGTATTATTTTCATAGAAGTAAGGCTTAAAATTTACTTTTATGTAATTATAGTTGTAATCAACCTCTCAAGGCTGATGTTGTATAAATAACACGCAAACAGGTATGATGACAGGGTATGAAAATTAAAAATCTAATTAGTCCGTAAGTTAGGTAATGAAAAAAATATTAGATACGTATTTTTTTATTTTATTACCTAATAAAATGATACTTAGATATCAATCAAAGTTTAGGAGTGGGGGCTATAACGTCATATTTACGTATAAAATGTAATGTACATAGAAGTGACGTCACGTGACATTTCAAATCAATATATCGTCGAAAGTATTCGTTTCTGTAAAAAATAATAAATACGTGTGTAATGTTTTAAAATAATCTACAAGACGGTCATTTAAATAAAAACTAGTCGTCTATTAACTATTTTTTTTTGTCATCGAGAGCGTTCCATTTACACCCAGAATAAACTACCACATCCACATCACGAACTTGCAACTGCTAACTTCACTAGATAAGCACACACAATAGACATCATTTGTTCCTACTAAATTCTATATACCCATCACCATTTACTGTAGACCCGCCACCGGAAGCAAATAGCTTCATCTGCTAGGTCTTACTCTTGAAGTAAATTCTCGAGGTTCGCGAAATACGCTGTACTGAAGTCGTCTTCGTTAGGGTACGCGAAATCGGCGAAGCGCTGGGGTATGGGGTCACCTGACGTGGGTATTACCCTGCCGTCCTTCAACCCGTATGTACCTCCGTACCTATGGCCTGATGAGTCCACGTACGCGAATGCTCCTCCTCCCTGCAAATTTGGTTCACCTGTGGATAGAAGAAAAGATTTGTTGTAGTTAGTTCATTTAAGTCGATTAGAAACTGGTAGGACATACTGACTTTCTTAAATCGATAGGATATTACAATTGGCTGGAATATCAGTTCACGCTTAGAACGTTTTGACGTTTCTAAAGTGCCTAATTAAGTATTAATTAAAATAAATGCTTTTGACAAAAATGTGCATTCATAGACAAAAAACCCTGAAAGATATTGTAGCGATAACTTAAGATTATATGATTTTATCTCCTAGCAATAGCAAACTATGAATCGAGTAGAATCTATTAGATGATAGATCTATAAGGGAAAGCAGAATCAAAAGAGTTACTTTTTTTTTGTTTAAGGTCTTTAACTGCCGTTTTGGTAACGAGTAATAATGATTTATGGTTAATTAAATTACGGTATATATTTTCTGAATAAGTTAAAAATAGGTACTAAGTTTCTAAGGAGCTACGCATGACATCGACACAATCCTGTGTGGGTAGCAGACTATTAAAAAGTGAAAAGACTTCATCAAATATTTAATTTTCGTTGTCCATATATGGATCTAGACGCCTACAATGTTAATTAATATAATTCATGTTGACGTCATCAATATTTAGTTCTTGAATGTAGTGAAATTGATTTAATA